CCCACCCCGGCGCCCTGATATTTTGTGGTGCAGAGACTCCTCCACCCGCCACTCCTGGCACTCCGCGCTGCGGCTTCTGATTCATTCCACGGGGGCCCGGGCTTCCTCCTCGCCTGCCTGGCTGCAGCCGGGCCACGATTCTGCCGCTGCGTTGCGTCTGCGCACCCTTCTCTGCAATGCAGCAACAAATGCACATTCCTAAACACACACCCAAACACTCTTTGTCACCACACCAGTTAGAACGCACTGCCAGTGGTGGTGGTTGGGGGGGGGGAAATGGTCTGATCCTTCCTCCTTTCCCCCCCCCCTCCGATTTATCCAGCCTCAGTGGGGCTTCTTCCAGGCCAGCCTTCTTGAGCGTTGGAAAAGGGCCGGCCTTTTCCAGGGTTGGGGGCCTTGGCAAGATGGTCTTCCCTCTTGCAGACTTCCGTTGGGTTGGGAGAAGAGTCAGGGGGAGTACTGGTTACACACCCTGGGCTTTGGACCTTTTCCAGAAGGCTTGGTTTTTTTGGGGAGGGAGCCCAGATTTGGTTTGCCCGGAAGAGGAGGAGAAAGTCCAGACCTGAAAGACAGACTTTGGGTGGGGGAGAGGTCTTAGGGTCACCGAAAGGGGTGGCAGCTTGGGGACTCTCTCCTGCAGCCCTTAACCCGCCACGGGAGAGCGGTGTGGGGCATCGCCCTTCCCAACCCTCTTTGCCACCGAGTCCAAACCCTTTGGAGGCCTCCAGGTCTCTGTGCGCGCGCGTGTGTGCCAGTGCGGCCATCTGGCTTTTGGCCGTGTAGCGCGGAGGGCAAGAGAGCTGCCCCCCCGAAGGGGTTGCAGGATTCCAGGTCAATGGGGCTGGGGGGGGCAGAAGGGCAGTCACTGACATGTACATAGCTGTCCATCTCTCCGATCTTTTTTGCACTTTTGCCACTGGGGGAAGGGGCTCTCGGTAATTGTCGACCGTTTGCTACTGAATGTAACTTGTTTTAATTTTTTTATTTTTTAGAAGCACCTCTAGCTAGTTTTATGGCACTTTAGAGATTTACTGAAACTGTTTTAAGGTGACGGGGGGTGGGGGAGGCGGGCAAGAAAAGAAGAAATACCAAGGGTTTAAAAAAAAAACACAAAAACAGAAAGAGGTTTTGGGGGAAAGACACAAAAATGTTAATAATAATATTAATAATAATAACGAGGATGAATAATAATTTTTGCCGCTTTTTTCCCCGGTCTCTGTTCCAAGTGTGACAGTGTGAAGAGTCCGTTAGACAAAAAAAAACGTATTTATCTTTCTGCATCTTTGTGTGTAACTCAGATAACTCCTTCAGAATAAAAACAATTATACGCTCAGTGCAAAACTGTCAAAAGCCACCCGGATGTCTGTGCTTTGTGGGTGCGACTTCCTTGGGCTTGTGTCCCTGCGGTTTCTCTCCCAGGCAGCGTGTGTGGCACGACCCCTCGGGGTCACTCTCTGCCGTTAGGCCTGTTCTGAACAGGTTGCAAACAGCCAGAAGGCCTTCCAGCCAAGGATCGCCGGGAAGGGGAGGAAACTCAGCCCTCGATGCCTCCCTCTCAGCTGGGGACCTTTTTCTGTGGACAGCAGGACGGGTTTCAAAGCAGTTTCCAACACAGATTCCAAGTCCGAAATGAAATCAAGACAGTTTGGGAGGATTTCAAGTGGAGTAGGTAGGTAGGTAGGTAGGTAGGTAGGTAG